CGGGCGGCCGGGCCGGGCCGGGCCGGGGGTCCCCTCCCCTGTCCCCGTGCCGTCCTCTTTCAAACAAGCAGCCGCCTCACGTTAGCGCATATCCAGCAAACTGCGACAGCCGGAGGGAGAAGCACGTACACACGCTCCTTAGCTCTCCCTTCCGAGGTTTGCGGTGTAGTAAATGGGGGAGTGTGTGTGAGCGGGCCCTCAGATGAAAAGGTTCTGCAAGCTGAAAGCTCGAAATTAGCATTTGCTGGGGTATGCTGCAGCCCAGGCTTACGCTGGGCAGGGGACTAACCTTTTTCTTGTAAACATTAGGAGTAGCACCTGGAAACCCCAGAAATAATCCGCAGGAAGTGTAAGAAATCTGTTAAATGAGAGCTTTTGTTTTTATTTCTTATACTGCATCAAGCTGTGGTATTAGGACACTTTCTAGAAGAAACAAGCATAAATCTGTACCTGAATACTAACTACCTACACGGTCAGTCAGTTGGTCGGTCTTGATTTTCCCAGCTGGAGACTATTTTCCGGGTGGCCTGACTGCATTAAATATTCACTTGATTTAGCCCATGATAACACTGAGCCACAGAGAAGGCATTAAATGGCCGTGCAGGAATGTCCACAGATACTGCTATATAACAAGCGGCCCAGGAAGGTCCGGTATGAGATTCCACCACCCGTACAGTCTCATTGCAAAAGATAAGCTACTCCTACAAGCCAGATAAATAAAAGATGAAAAGGAAACTGTAAATGAGGCAGGATCTCAGGCAGAGGTAGAATTAGCATCCCCAGTGGTAATTCATTGCTTAGTGAGTCTTTGACCATACTAAGCGACCAACTTCTCTTTAGCATTTCTTGACAACACCACAAGAGGTATGTAGTATTCTTCAGTTCAAGATTTTGTACCATTACTATGGGTCTTTGCACTGAATACAGAAACTACTCAAAGGCATTGCGAGACATAGAGTTGACTTTCATATGTCTTCAGGTGCTCAAGAAATGAATTTTGTTATATACTAACATACTATCAGACTTCTAGAAAATGTTTTTATTGCTTTTTAAAAATGTTTCAATAAAATGTTTATTATTACAGCTTCATTAGTTAGTAAAAGATCTTTAACCTGTGTAGCTTACTGGATCACTGTCCACTTCAAACTGTCAGCCTTTTTTTTTTTTCTGTGATTCCTTATCCTGGGACAATACTACTCTCATTTCAATTTCCACTGATATTACTTTCAGTGAAATTGGGGTTTGTAGTTTGTATATGCAATAGTCACACCAAAAAATCAGGTCAAAGTACCCTGTTATTCACATCTTTATCAAACTCCTTTGGGACTGAATTCTAAGGTTTAATGGTAGTTTTTGTGTGGAAGTTTGAGAAAAACTTTTTGTTGGTTTCTTTCTGTTACAGAATCATGGAAGGAAAGGAGGTGCTTTATGTATCACATTTTAACATAGTTGTGAAAGCATTAATACAGCATAATCATCACTGAAACATCATCTGTTCTTTATTAGAGGCCTTAATAATTTAATTAGCAGAAGAGTCTTATCATTCCTGCATTTTACAGATTCTCTTCTTTTGCCTTTTTATAAGATTAAGCTCTTCATCAGTTTCTTGACAGATCAAGTCTGAGCTAGTTCCTTTGATTCTCAGATCTTCTCAGAAGATTCCCAGATCTTCATGTCAAGATGATTTAGGAATGATGATTTCCATGGTCTAGAAGTACTCCCCAGCACATTGCATTATATTACCCATTTTAGCACGAAATCATATGAATAATATCCACAGTGAAGAATAAAAGCTCACGGCAAAGACAAACTAGAGGTCTGCAGGTATGGAATTTCATAAGCAATGGCTAAAAGGTGATGGTTTTCATGGTTTCACACCTAAGTGAACATACAGTGTTGGGAGGCTCTGAAGGTGACATTCATGAAGCTATGTTTCTTCTGAAGCAGCGAGTCTCTGCTGGCCAGGCAATTGTCAGTCATGCAGGGAAAAGTCCTTGCTGTCCTCGGGATGGACTGACGATTGCTACGTTGACATCTTCCAACCACCTGTTTTTTCTCTTAGGATTTTACACCTTTTCATAGCAGTGTTTTTTCCTTTTGAATCCTTGAACCACTAACTATCCACATCTCAAAACTACCTGCTGCCGTTTTGCCTTTCTTCTCGCACGACTGTGTACTTTCTCATGACGGAGTGATTTTTTCAGAAGTTTCTCGGAGCTGGTGCTATCAGAACTAGGTCTTGGATCGCAGACAGCTGAAACCCATAGGAGAAGGGCTAGACTAGCTACATTGGGCAGTGCTAATGACAGGCTACGTTCCCTTTTCACAGGACAAACCTGTGAATTTTCTCTCAGGATACTGTCTCACACTTGAAGCCATATTTGGCTTCAACACCAATAAAGAACACCAAAAAGAACACCATTAAGTGGTGTTTTCTGTTACCCTTGCCCTTCCTTAAAGTGAAAGCAGCTAGGCAAAATAGCTTTAGAACAGGGATGCATTATGCCAGGTAGGAGTGGTCAAAATATAGGGCATATGGGCAGATCTGTTGTCACCCAGGTTCCTCTAGCATGTGTCAGAGATAAAGGATGGTGCTAAAGGTACAGAAATCTAAAAGTATCTCTGTAAAGATGTTTTATGATCTATCAGTGCTGTTGTGAAGTATTTGGCTCATAATAACTATTGGTTTCACTGGCAGTTAAGTGCTGAACTTCCTCTGAAAATCATGTTAAGTGTTCAGTGTTAGATGATGCCAGATGATATCAACATTTGTGCTTTTTTTAACCAGGGTGAAATGGGTATACAGGGCCAAATTCTGCCCATTCTCATAAGCTGTGCCACTGGAACTGTTTGGGTAAGTAAAGGAGGTAGGATTGGGCTCCTTGAGTGTATGTGAAGCCATAAACGATGAAACAGCTTCAGTGTCTGAAAAATAATCTTACTAGAATAGCTTGATTTTTCAGACATTGGCAGAATCATAAAATACGTTTACATCTTAGTAAGAAAACTGTTACAGAATCTCATGAAATCATACTAGTGAATAAATGTTCCTGATACTGCATGTGATATGTGGACTGACAATTTGATGAAAGAGAAGTGATACTCCTTTACATGTCATTTAGGAAAGCAAAGTGTCGTGGAAATACTGCAAGAAGTGAGGATTCAGAAGTGCCTAACCTGCTAGTGAGAGCAGCAGTACGGATTATCACAGAGTGGTTACAAACATGGGCAGCAAATAGAGTGAGATTGACCTTGGAAAATGCAAACTATTATGTCTTAGAGAAAACTGGTACTTAGTGGCAGGAAGAAGCCTACCAAACAGTGCATCTGAAGGATATGTGGGTGATAGCAGATAGCTAATTAGGCAGCGCTTTGCAATACTATTTGGCCAGGAAAAGCAGTCTGCTTGAAGCATGCATTTTCCTCTTTCCTTACTGTTTTGTTTTGGGCATGCCTGAAGTGTCACATCTCTTCCCTGGCAGAGGCATGATGATTTTAATACAGTTTTTCGTCTCCACTTTCTGTGCCTGAGTTTACACTTGCAATTCTGAAGCGACTATTTCCAATCAGTCCGTAACAGAGAGGGAAACGATGCAGGGATTCTTCATGGCTTCTCAAGGAAACGGAGTCCTTTTGTGGTCCACAGTTCATGGCTATTTAAGGTAGCTCTGGCTACAAGAACAAGTGGCAGCATTGGTACAGAGAGAAAGATCAGGTAGTTAGGAGCTTTACCATAAAAATATGGGTAGCAAGAGCAGCTTCAAAAAAGCAGTATTAGTTTAGTGTTCACAAGTGTGCTTTCCTTAGACACCTGAATGAGATTTTCATGCCATGACTCACGGAGAGGTACTATCGCTGACAAAGTACCTGCATTTATTTACCTTGGGGAAAACTAGAACTGCTGTGATGCCACCATAGTGTCCTGCTGATGTTATACCAGTGTACTTCTGATGTTGTAACTATTTGTTATTGGTATTTTCTTGTCTGGTGATATGCTTAAGAGCTCCTCCCATGGACAAGATGCCTACTGGGTGGGATCCTTGTAAATACAAACCAAAAAGATTTCTTATGTTAAAGTCCGACTTTGTGATGCTTTGTCATGTTGAGTGATCTCTTACACCATAAATTCAATTCCATTGAATTCAATAGAACTGTTAATAGGAGAAGTGGTTATTCAGTGTGAGGAAAGTTATCAAAATCCAACTGAAAATTATTTTTATGTAAAACTGAATGATATCTGTATTTTAAATTGAATCAAATGGAACAGAAGTCATAG